GCACACCCACACCCACACAAGAGTGCACAAACACACACACCATTGCACTGGGGGTGTACTCTTTTCTTTTCTTTTGTTTCCTAGTCAGGTTTTCTCTGTGTAGCTTTGGAGTCTGTCCTGCAACTCGCTCTGCAAACCAGGCTGGCCTCAAACTCAGAGAGATCCGCCTGTCTCTGCCTCTGGGATTAAGGGCAGGCACCACCACTGCCTCGAAAGGGTTGTACTCTTATCAAAAGAAAAGTACTCATACCCGATAAAGGCAGACAGGAATTCCTTCGAGTGTAAAGGAGAAGCTATTGTGGGAAAAGGACCTCATTCTCGAGCACCAAGAGTCAAGGGCAGAGTGGGAGAAGTGTTTTCAAACCTCTTTCTGTAGGAGCCACTTGAACACCCATCATTAAGAACTACTTAATACAAAAGCCTCTGCCGGGGAGTTGCTAGGCAGGAATTATCAAAATGCCTGTAGCTTTGTGAAGGCCACGCTGAATGTGGCTTTGAAAAAATGGGCCGAGTTACAGTTGAAATCATCTGTGAAGCCCCTGTGACACAGAAGCGAGAGATTGTATGCAGCGAGCACAGGACTGGGTATGTAGCTTCTGCTCTTGAAGGTCAGCCCTCTGTCTCCACAAACAATGACCCTTAGACTCCTCAGAAATGGACACCATAAGCACCTTCTGAAGGCAAATCCCTGACAGGCTAACAGCAGGAAAGGCAGCAACCCTACTAGTGAGCTGTAAGCCGCCACACCCTCAACCTGGCACTCTTGGCAAAGTCTAAAACTGCCCATGAGACCGGAAATACCACACGCCTACCGACCCCTGTCCTCCCTCCCCACTCTCAGCATGGACTCGGCTGCCATTTGCCCTTGCCCAACTAAAATGCTGGGTCTGAGCCATTCTTTAAGCCTCACCCTTGTCTGTGAACTGAGATATGATCCCTGCCTCTCAGCTGCTGGGATTTCAGACTCACCATCCTCCAGTCAGCCCAGAGCTCCAGCGCACTGGGGGTGGAAGCTGGCTTGCTATGGCAAGGTGGATGGTGACCATTCCGGCAACCCAGAGTCACTTTGGGCTCCCTAAGATCTGTCCTGGGTAGTTATTGTCTCTGAGGAGTACTAACCTCCTGGCCTTATACCACAAACATCTAGAGCTTGCTCACATTCTGTTAAAATCCATAGGATTGCCAGCATTGCATTTCCATACTGTCACCTAGTCTCACTGTATGACAAAACTGAGGTATTTCTGTGTTTGGCTTTCCTGTCTGAGAATCCAGACAGGGGTGTGGGGCATGACTGCCATCACCTTGTTCAGACCAACAAACTGTTCCCAGATGTGCCTTGTCCATAGGCTCTCACTTCGAGCTCTTTGATGGAGCCCAGTCAGCAACCATCCTGACCCCAAAGACCCAGTGGCTTCATTTGGATCAGCTCCTGTCTAGGGACATGTTCCTTCCTCACAAGCCATGTTCTGTCACCACCTCTCAACAGTTCACTCAGTTCTTAATACATCTACCCCAGTAAGCACCGACAGTGACAAATTCTCTAACACCTTCTACCCAGTGCTTAAATAGAATGTGAGTTACTACACATCCTTCTTGGCTTCCCAGTGGGGCCATCAGCCCTGGGGCGCACTGGGGCGACTCTGATCAGTCTGTGTGAGAGAGTCAGGATACTTACATCTAGAATTCTCCTGACGCAGAGAGAATCTTTATTCATATGAGAAATGCCCAGTCACAGAGGCCACACACCGAGCTGTTGGGAGAGGACACCCGGGCCCACAGCAGTCAACCGCTCTGAATTCCAGTGTGCCTTGGGTAGCTTGGACCCCCTTCCTGAGAGTCTCTCTACAGGGCATTCCCAAATACACTAATAAAAGCACACCATCAGCTCTGTGATGGAAGAGCTCATGCAGTTATCCTGTGGTGTTGCCCAAGAATGCCCCCCAGAGCCTCTGATGTCTTCCTCAGCTGGAAGGTTAGCCTCGGCAACCCCTGCTCCTACAGAGGAAGGAGTGCAACTTTGTCTGTATCTACACACCTCCCCAAAATCATTCCTGGCTTTGCATCTCCAGAGGGGCTTTCTAGGAAGGAAGGGCGGCACTGGGCCCGTTTACTGAGACCCTGGAGATAGGTAACAGCCATGATCTCCAATTGCTGACAATTCACCTCTGTAGTGGGCCCCTCCTCACCGTGTCTGGGAACACCCATGGTAGAGGGTGTTCCCTCTACCATGACCTGAATCAAACCTAAATGTGCCCTGAGCCCCCAGACCTCATGGACTTCTGTATCACAGTCATCCCTAGGACTAGGCACAGGGTTCCCCAATGTCCCTAGAGAAACTGTACAGAACATCCATCAGGAAGGGCCAATGTCACTGAAAATAAGCCTTATGGTGTCCAAGAACTCATTAGAAGTTTAGTACTTGGACAGTCAAAAGTGTCACTTGAGTCCTTGGCAATGAACTGGGCATTTAGGAACAGGCTTCACAGATGCTTTCTGTGTGTGTTTCTTGCTTATGAAAAAGAAACCCCGGGCCTTGGATGCTCAGGAGAAGAGGAAACAACCAAGGACAGGGACTGCCACATCCCATGCCCTGCTTGGACCCACGGTGTCCCACCAACTGTTAGTTAGTTGTGTACAAAGCTTTTAGGGTTGAAAAAGGTCATCCTGGGAGTGTTCTAGTTCCTCTGTTGGGAAGCTGTGCTTGTGATGCTTGTAATCCTTGGTTCCACAGAGAACACAGGGAGCTTCATGTTCCTTTACCAGTGTGGCATGTATGGTCTTTAAGATATGGGACATCCCACTTCCAGTATATCACTCAGAAAATCTTCCCTGAGGTGCCTCCCTTATTGATTGGGTGTGATCAGACCCATGGATTCTTGAAGCACTCCAAATAGCTTGCTGAGAAAGCAAAAGGAGAGGCTGGGGTGTGGTGGGAATTGGTCTTCAGGAGAGGAAAAATGGCAGACACTGCAATGCTCAGTGAGTGAAGGTTATTGCACAAGGCTCTACAGGGCCTGAGGAGTAATCTCCTCTGGTGACACTGGCAGTGACCCTTGGGACAGGAGCTGTAATACATCTACCTGCACTAGGACCTCCTGGGCCAACCATCATTCCAAAGTCACTCACCCTGGCCCTCGCAGTGTTGGAGCTCTGATCAGAAACAAATCAAACTGTTGGAACCTTCTCTAGGATGCAAACATTTCTACCAACTACACTGGAAATTAGTTCTGTGGTCACACGGTATGGACCTCCCCCCCCCCATGTGTCTTCCTGCACTACAGTTAGCTAGGTAGCTCTACCCTTAGAGCCAGGTACAGCAAGAGATGTCTTGAGCTGTAAATCAGTTGACTCTGATGCTGGATGATGTTCAAATGTACAGGATAAGGAAGTCCTCGGGCTGATTTACAGGCCATTACCTTTAGGCTTATGGGCTCCTCCTTAGTGGATGGCGACAAACAAGACCTTTGGCAGGTCACAATGCAAAGGATGAGACGCTCTATGGTTGGCCTTAAACAAGGCATCTGTAACGTGCCCCCTCCCGAATAGCTCAGGGACCATTGCAGAAGACAGAGAGGAAAGACTGCAAGACCCAGAGGTTAGCAAAACTACTGTCATGATGATGAGGGAATATTACACTCATGAATTTACAGTGGCTAAGGTTTCCTATACAACACCTGCACAAGATCAAGCCAGTGAAAAGTTCAGCATGATGGGCACAGGTTCACAAAGCCCCGTTCCTACCCAAGGGGCTTTGGACAACTGAAGACTTATGGCTCCATAACACGTCATTCATGCACAGCATAACATATGGCATGCCCCACAAAGAAGTCAAATAATGATCAGAATTTGGGTATAATTAGGAAGATTTCCCCAACAGACAGGAAGAAAGCTGAGAACCAAGTCAGAGGAAATGCCCAGGTGCAGCTAAGAAACAAAAGGCACTCACTTTGTTCTTTTACTTTCAAGTTTTCCTTCAGATTTGGCGATAATTACTGAGAACACACGACAGGCAATCTCATTATCCCTGAGGACTGTGTTCTCTGATGTCACTGGACACAGTGAATGCTGGAGAGACGCTGTCCCGGGGAAGTAGGCCAGGTTCCTGGGGCTCTGACCACAGTGGATGGGTATGCAGAGCTCTGTCTGTGTGTGCACATTTCTGTGCTGATGAGTGATTGAACTCACAGCCTGAGTGGAATTGAACTCACAGCCTGAGTGGAATATTGAAGATATGCCTATTTTCTCCATATGGCACTAGGCAGCTCAGCAGTGCTTCAGCATCTTGCTTAGGCACAGACTGGGGGGAACAGAGTGCAGGTCGCCTCTGTTCTCCTCTGGTCTATGACTTTAAGACTTTCTCTTCAGGAACCATATGTAGACAGTTGCTATGGGGCAGACCTTGAGAGGACCATTGGCTGACCTGCCAGTACCCAGTGCATCCCATAATAGGGGACTCTAGATGTGGGAACACAACTGTCTGTTCTGGGTCATGGTCCCTGAAGGACCATCGACTAACTAACCAGCTGACAACCAAGTTCACTTGCTGGGAGAGGTAATGTTATGGACAGTAGAAAAAGAAAAAGAAAAGAAAATCAAAACAAACAAAAACAAAGGGAGGAAAGTGGGCATCTCTGATGGGAGGGGATGTCCTTCTGTATGATTGTGAATATATGTTTCTCTTATTGGTTGATGAATAAAGCTGTTTCGGCCAATGGACAGGCA